ATCTTTTGCATCATCCTATCCCAATCTAATCATTATACTGTAGTTGTAGCAACCTTTTTGAAATTCAAGAGGACCACAGATGCAGTTTTTGGAGAAACTGACTCTAGAGTCAGAAACACTAGGCACAGGGTTAAAAATAGGGACTTGTGTGAAAATCTATACTGAACAAGCTCAAAGCAGCCTTCACCTAACTCTGTAAGGTAACACCAACCTGCCCCAGTGGAAGAATGAGAATTCTGTAGAAAACTAATCCAGGACAACCTCCAGATACTGCTATTTGGAGGTTCCCCCAAGGAAAATGCCAGCTTGCCAAAGCACATTTAAGTGAAGTCTACCAGGAGACAAGCAATCCAGTTTTTAGTATCTCATAAAAAGAGAAGAAATGATTATGCTCACAGACAAAATGGTAGGAAAGAAGGGGAAAAAAGAACAAGAAAAGGAACTTATAATTTAAACATTTTAATAGCAGAAATAAAGAATTCAGTAGAAAAAGTTGAAGATAAAGCTGAGGAACTCTCAAAAAATGGAAGAGGAAATTAGACAATTAATCCAAGAGTTCCAACGCCCCAAAGAATAGGGACTGGGAAAACTTTTTCTGCAAAAGGCCAGTCAGTAAATGGTATGGGCTTCACAGGCCATATGTTCTCTGAGCAACTACTTAATTCTGCTGTTGTAGTGTAAAAGCAGCTAAAAATATATGTAAACCAATGGGACAGACAGAAGGCCAGACATAGCCTCTGACCCAAGGTCTGCTGATCCTTGAAATTAAAGATTAAAAAAAAAAAAAAAGCAAAGAGAGAAAACGCAGAAGAATAAATCACCAAAGAAAAATTTAAGAAAATATTCTAAAATGAATATGAGTTTTTAGATTTTAAAAGGGTCCAACCCAATGCACATGATCACCGAATTTCAGAATACCAAGGAAGAACAGACTACAGAAGCTCCCACAGAGGGTAAAACCCAATAGGTTCCACACTATGCACAAAGACTGGGAAATCAGATGATACCAGCTTTTTGAAGAGTAACACAAAAAAGCTGGAAAACCTTCAATATCAAAAGAGAATTTTAATTAGAATTCTATACCTAGTAAAACTAACAACCATATGTGAGGGAAGAAAAAAGGCAATTTTTAGATATACAATTGCTTAAAAATGTATCCAAGATACCTTTATTTACAAGGCTACTAAAAGAGTATTCATTAAAAAGAAAAATGGAGTAAAACAAAAATGAGGAAGACATGATATCCAGGAAAACAGGGATCCAACACACAGCAGCAGTTAAGGGAAGTCCCAGAACAGCAGCTGTGCAACAACCCTAGAAAGTCAGTCCACATTGGAATGGGGGAGAGGGAGAGGAGAAGGGCTTCAGAGGACATTTGAATGAAACTGATATATTTGAGCATATGAAAAATATTAACAGCATGTGACAGAGATGTGGAGCATTTAGAAAAAATCAGCTATAAATACATAGAAAGCTGTGCAATTTAAATAATGAGGCAATATTAACTTCAAAATAGTAAAAAGCTGTATTGAAATTCACTATTTGGCTTAGCAGGAAACAATAGCTTCATAATCAGTATGAGATATTGATTACTATGTAATATACTTAATTAGATAGGGAAAAAGAAAGTAGGAGAGCAAGGTGGGAAGCTACGGCTCTACCCACTATGGTAAGAAATGAAGAGACAATGCCTAATGAAATGAAATACCAGTCTAGGGTAGCGCCTGTGGCTCAAATGAGTAGGGTGCCGGCCCCATATGCCAGAGGTGGCGGGTTTAAACCCAGCCCCGGCCAAAAACTGCCAAAAAAAAAAAAAGAAGACTTAAAAACAGTTGAGAAAGCTCACTAGCATTTAAAAAAAAAAAAAAAAGAAAGAAAAGAAATACCAGTCTACAACATGGTATTTAGTAACAAACAGACAAATGTCAGAATGATCAAAAAGATTAACAATAGTTTCCTCCATGTAGCAAGACTTGGAGTTATAAAATGTAGGACATCTAATTGTATTTGGCTTTTAAAATTGTGTAAATATGTTATTAATTAAAATTGATTTAAAATAATTAAAATTAGTTTTATAAAAAGCAAATAGTTGGTAAAGATTATTTGTAATACTAATTATAGACAGAAGATCAGTATCTTTCAAATTATAAGGAGCTGTTACGAAGACATCAACATAATATGATATACAAGGGATATAATATACAGGCAATTAGCAAAAGAAATATTACAGTCCAAGGCACACATAAAAAAACTTGTATCCTTCATAGTAATTTTTAAAAATCCAGATTTAAACAATAAAGTGGCATTATCTTAACCTATTAATTAGCAAAAATTTAAGAAATGAATGATAGCAATGTTAAAGATTTTTAGGAAATACACTACTGTGAGAGTGTAAGTTGATATATCATTTCTTTAAAAACCTTAAAAATATGCATTACATGTGATCTAGCAATCCCTGCTAAAAAATGTATCCTTAAAGAAATGGTATCAAATATGTATATAAGGATTCAGCTGCAAAGGTATTATTTTAGCAAAATTTTATTAAGACTCTTTTTCTTATTGAATTATCATTATTTTGCTGTGTATAATGTGCTCCCATGTATAATGCATATCCATGTTTTTGGCCCAAACTTTTAGGAAAATGCCCCTTGGGAAAGTGGTATATGCTATACATGAATACAGTATAACAAAAGCTATCAGCCAGGAGAGATACATGTGGGGAGGACTAACATTCCCCAGATCACAAGCCTTCCCAAAGCTGCCAGCTCTGTGAAGACTGTCCTTTCCCTCTCTCCTCGGAGCCCTTGCCTCCCTGCCACATGAGGGGCCACAGCCAAGATCGCCATGTGTATGGCTAGCAGAGCAGTAGCTTCTAAGACACAGTTCACAGGTAGCCTGGTGGGTCCCTGGGGCCTATATGGGGTCCCCAGTGGTCAACCTTGCCACTGCCACCTCCCTTGATCGTGGTGCTCAGTAGAGGCTGCTCCAGCCCATTCCCATCAGATCCTGATTCTCCTAGACTGGAATCCCATACACTGAGTGGACCCAGGAGGGAGGGCACGACACCCCAGAAGGCCCACTGAGCTCCCTCACTTCCAAGCCACATTACCCTTGTATAGTGTGCATCCTTATTTTTCCCTCAAAAATTTAAGCACATTATTTGTGGTGAAATACAGTAACAAACAGCCTTACCTGAACTGTACGTCCTGCATTGATATGTTCTTCATGCAACTTGTCCCAGATTCTGCACCTCTGATACTATACAAAAGAGAAAGGGAAAGGCATTAAATTTTTCATCACTAAAGGAATTTTTCCAGCTACCTCAAAAATCCCCACTTATCTACCCAAACTTATAAGCATAAGTTACAGAAGACAATGATTTAGTTAAGTAGTATTGGTTAACTTTGCAAAGACTATCATACAAGCAAGATGTTTCCAAGAATATTACACATAAAATTCTGAAAATAGTAAATCAAACACAAAAATCCACTAGATCTGGGTTATTTTATTTTAACAAAGAAGAGCATATATTTTGTCTATGTTGCAGACTCTTTGGAGATAAAAAAACCTATAAACTAAAGAATGAGAATGTAAAAGGATATGAAAAATGAAGATATCAACAACATTAATAAGATTCTTACCATATATGAAGAATTCTAAATGGTTGTCAATGCTAATGTTAAGTACTGAAAATTAAAATCTAAACTTGAAAAAAAGGAATATTGATACTGAAGAGAGCAAATAAAAATGAGACAAAACATTTAATATATATGTTTCAGTTTTTACCAAGGTAATATTTAGCTTTCAGAGTATCATCCAAAAAATTTTATAAACATAATAATGGAAATTTTTTCATTTGACAGGAACCACAGGAAAATGTGATAACATTATAGCTAAATATTTATATAAAATATAATTAACAGCACATATTGCATACTATTTTTAGTTGAAATAAAAAATCCAAATAATTAAAATGACAGTAGATGTAAATAATGACATTAAATACATTTTTAGTATATTACCCACTAACAAAAATCAACTTAGACATAATTTGAAAGGATAGAAATATAATAGCATCCCATATATACATAGAAAACACAACAGATAAAAGTAGAGCAGCAAAAGATTTTCTAGGGCATTTTTATATTCCTTGTTTTTTATATGCCTTAAATTTGCTACTGAATGATGCAGCAAGAACCTCTTTTTGCACTCCTAAAAACCTCTTTTGATACTCCTAAAATTTTTGTCATCTAAGAACTAAACAGTAAATATTAAGCTTAAAAATAATTATACCATGTTGAAAATTACTTTACCAAAATTTAAAATTACCATCAAACCACTTTAATTTATAAGAAAAATTGAACTGATGCCATCAGATACAGTAAAATGCACTTTTAGACAGTGCTATAATATGAATAAAAGTTTGAGAATGGAAGCCAAAGATACATAGATACATGTGTGAAAACAGACCAGATACATAGATATATGTGTGAAAATAGACCACCTTTGAATTTATTACTCACTACTAATTTGTCATGATATTTTAAGAAAAATTAAAATCGAAGAACTAGAGTTGAGAATTCGTGGAGTCCAAGGCTGTTAGAATTCACAGAGCAGTGAATACCAGAGAGGAGAGACAGTTGCGCTAAGAGGAGAGGGATACATACAAAGAGAGAAAACTCCAGAGATCTGCCGTGTTTTCCTTTTTAAGTATTCAGCAAAGTATTGCTCAGCACATGCAGGTGAAGAAACTACTTATAGTTAGAACAAGAACAGGTGGAATAATTCCTAAAGATCATACACGGTGGCTGGGCATGGTACCTCATGCCTGTAGTTCCAACTATTCAGGAGGCTTAGGAAGGAGGATTGCCTGACGCCAGCATTGGGGCTACAGTGTGCTAGGACTGGGCCACTGCATTCCTGCACTCCAGCCTAGGTAACAGAATGATTGAGACTGTGTCTTTAAAAAAAAAAAAAAAATAGAAAGAAGGACAAGGAAAAAAATCAAAACTGTTGAACTCCATATTTTTTCTACTGTCTTTCTTTACTGAGGAAAATCTTCAAAACAGAAAAGTCAAAAATAAAATGATCAAAAGGCAAATGAAAACCAAGGAAGAATAAGAGCAAATCTAGATACTTTAAATGAGTTCAAGTCAATAAGCCCAAGGAAATTACATCCTAAAGAATCAAAAGACCTTGCAAATGTGATCACAGAAACTCTCTGCGTAATTACCTAGGAAGAACTGTGAAGAGCTGAAAAGGTTCCTAGACTTGCACATATGGATCTAATTTTTGCAAAAGAAAGTATATTTAAAACACTGCAGGGAATAAATCTTAAAGTAAATCTTGAGGAGAATTCTACAATAGATTATTATTAAAGAGATAGTTTGTGAGAACTTACAGAAATGGTGACAGTATACCAATATACTCTGATTAAAATGACAGAGAAAAAAAACAGAAAAAAAAAAGACCAGGGGATGAAAAGAAAAAAAAGTGGGTCTTGGATATACCAAAGCCCAGGAGTTTTTACCTAAAATTTAGCCTTCTTTATAAACTAGTGCAGAAGAGCACTTGTGCAAACAAATATTTCTATGTGGCAACCAGTATGTTTTGGGTATTTCCCATCTAATAATCCATTATAATAAATATTGCTAATTTTTTTGCTGCCATAGGAAGGTACTTTTGCCCTTGTATTTAAAAGTGTTCATTTTCCTGGGCAAGCAGTTGGTACAGGGTACATAAAAATCTAATAATTACTGAATTACATGTATTTTGGAATATTTGAGTTATACATGTTTATTCTTTACAGACTGCGAACACTTTTTTACTATAAAGACTCTGTCCTTTCTTAGAGATATTTGCATGAATACATTTATTTCCATATGCGCCTCCTTGTCTGTTGCCTTACTACCACTGTTCCATTTAATAGAATTCCTTAATAAAGCAAATACATTTTGATATTTAAAAAAATAAAAGAATAAAATGTTAGACAGGAAAGTGCCAATGACTTCAACACAAAGAATGTATAATTACCAAATTTTCAAATTACATAAATTAGAAGAAATAATTAACATAGATAAAAGATCACAATTCTACATAGTGAGAACAAATATAATAATAAATATAAAGCCCAGAACTTAAAAAGAACAATTGCACCAGTACAAGAAACAGGTCTGATCTGCCCTAATAGCCTTAGTTCATATAAAAAAAAGTCCTATGTCATTCATTCAGTTGATTACAAAGTCGATAAAAAAGCGGACGATATAAAGTGGATTCTAAGGTGACTGATACAATCGTAGGCTCTACACATGCACATATACATACAATCATTTAACACACTTTTTTGTAATAAAAGCATGCTATGTTTCAAGAGCATTAGAAGTTTAACATATTTACCAATACAGTGATCTTAAGCAAGTTAACTACTCTAAATCTGTTTCTCCATCTAAAAAGTGAAGACAGTAATAACTAATGTAAAAGGATGTTATAAGGATTAAATGCTATTATATATAAAAACTCCTAACATTATACTTGACAGATGAAAAAATAACTACTAATTTGACTATTATTTCCTCACTTGACAAGAAAATTGTGGAAGAGACTACTGTCTTGAGTGGAGTATGAACTAGATGACCTTACTTCTTATCACAATAAATTATAAGAGGCTTACCAAGGGTGACATAGTGAGACTGTCTCAAAAAAATAAA